AGAAAGGAACTTTTTAATTTTGCCTCGAAATTCTTTAAAGGTATTTATATCCTTTAATTCATTTGGCAAATGATTGTACATCTTTTTGGCACTATACCGGGTGTCTACGAAATTAGTTTCGCGCTGGCATTTGCTGGGTTTTTTTTCAATGGCCAAGATTTTTGGTATAGAGTATAGGTTTGAGAAATGTCATCTTTTGACACATGTGTCAATGTTTGGTAACTTCCGGTTTGACTGGAAATGGCCCTAACTTCGTAATTTCGAATGGCAACCCAAGAATTTTTTCCCATTTTTGGGATCTGCGGATTATGATGTGTATGAAAAAGTCAAATCTGAACATTTTTGAAGAAACTTAAGAATTCTGGATCAAAATTTATTTTTGAATAGAAAGTGAAAGAATGCCCTTTAAACTGTTTTTTTCAACTCACACGATCGTAGAAAAATGCGAATGCCAAGTTTTTATCCTTTGCTTGTTCTCCAAAGGCTTCCAAAGTTGAAAAAATCACATTTTACGTGATAACTCAATGAAATCAGTGAAATTACCCAACTTTCAGAACAAGAGATTTTTACCTTTTCCAAAATGAAATCAACTATGCATTAAAACTTTTCATTTATGCCAGTGTTTAATTATTTTCTCATTATTTTTATTAGGCACTACTATAAATGATGAAACTACTTATGAATGAACCCCTGTATGAAAACACGCTGTCTAAAAGGAGCTGGTGGTCTTTTTTTACTTGTCAAGCTATTGACAAGATCTATGGACAAGATATGTTTGTTTGCATAGACATTTGTCATTTTTTGACATCTCGGGAATTTGTAAATACAAAGTTTGAATACAGGGGCTCATTTATAAGTAGTTTTATCTTATCATTTATAGTAGTACATAATAAAAATAATTGAAAACTGGCATAAATGAAAAGTTTCAATGCTTGTTGTGAAAGTTGGGTGATTTCACTGATTTTATTAAGATATTCCGTAAAATGTGATTTTTATAACTTTGGAAGCTTTTGAAGAACAAGCAAAGAATAACAACATGGCATTCGTATTTTTCTACGATCGTGTGAGTTGAAAAAAAACAATTTAAAGACCATTCTGTCACTTCCTATTCAAAAATAAATTTTGATCCAGAATTCTAAAGTTTCTTCAAAAATGTTCAAATTTGACGTTTTCATACACATCATGATCCGCCAGATCCCAAAAATGCGAAAAAATTCTTGGGATGCCATTCGAAATTACAAAGTTAGGGCCATTTCCAGTCAAACCGGAAGTTACCAAACATTGACACATATGTGTGACATATGTCAAAAGATGATATTTCTCGAAACTATACTCTATACCAAAAATCTTTGCCATTGAAAAAAAACCCAGCAAATGCCAGCGCGAAACTAATCTCGTAGACACCCGGTATATGAAACTTTTTCTAATTTTGCTGTTCTGCGGAATCGGCAACGGAACATTACCACCTCGCCGAGCACTGTAATGCCCCACTGGAATAGAGCTTTTATATTTTTTGTAAACCAAACATACACTCTCTGCAATAAAAACACACGGCAATGTCAGGAGTCCTTCTTTCAGAAAGCATGGTTTATTTATTTATTTATTTACGGGATAACCCACAGCCAACCCCATTAAAGAAGAAATTATACAATAGTTACAAGATGCACGGTATGTTAAACCGTACATAAAGTGCAGTGCTTGCTCTTTTTTGCAAAACAAAAACTGAATTAAACATATAATCGGAGCAACCTCCCCAGAAAGCAATTCCGTAACGTAAATGTGACTCGATCAGAGCATAGTAAGCCATCTTAACTACCTGTGGTTCAAGATTTTTTGCTATGGTTATTAAGGCATAACAGCCAGATGACAGTTTATTCAACAGTTTTTCAATGTGATTACTAAAGTTAAGCGAACTATCAACATGTATCCCAAGAAATTTCACACATGTCGTGGGGTTGAGTGTAATTGTTTCAATTTGAATTTCCTGTAAATCACATTTGAAAGTCAGAATATTAGTTTTAGCAACATTAAGCGTTAAGAGGTTGCTGTCAAACCACCTCTTCATTTCCTGCAAATCTTTTTGGATTCTATAGTTAAGAGAAGAATTGGTCGAGTCACGCCAGAGAATGGTAGTATCATCAGCAAAGAGAGTAAATGAGCCTGATATATCAATATTGGTGATATCATTAATATACAGGAGGAACAAGATTGGTCCCAGGACAGAACCCTGAGGTACCCCACAATTGATATTTTGAACATCTGACATTTTTCCCACTATGGAAACAGTCTGAGTTCTTTCCGACAGATAGGACCTGAACCAGTTGAGGGCAACACCTCGAAACCCGTAAACTTCTAGCTTTTGTAGTAGAATACTGTGACTGACACAATCAAAAGCCTTGGTCAGGTCGCAGAAGACTGCACCAGCAATATCCCTGCGAGTATCCCTGTTATTGAGTGAGGGTTACATATAGTTTCTCTAAGAAAAAAAAAATGCACCAGTTGTGTTTTTTTTTATTTTGAAAGCCAAACTGTTCCGAATTTAAGATCTTATTTTTCGATAGAAAAGACACAACTCTGTTTTTTACAAGTTTTTCTATAATTTTGGACAAAGTGGGAAATTGGTCTAAAATTTGAAGGACTGAAGTCATTTCCTGCTTTGTGCAATGGCACGATAACAGCCCTTTTAAGGACACATGGAAATTATCCAATAATGAATGAATAGTTAATTGCATCTACTAAAGACTCCAGTGCTGATCCACTCAACTCACAAATTTTTTTTACGGAAATGTCGTCCCACCCTGAGGCGTTTTTGTTTTTAATCTCTAAAAATATGTTTTTTAATTCCCTAATGTCTGTTGGGTACATAAAAAAGGTGCTTGATGTATATGATCTAGTGAGATATGTGAGGGGATTTACACTAGAGGTAATTTTCGAAGACAACCCTGAGCCAATGAAACAGTAAAAATCATTAAGCTCATTGGGGTCATGGTGTAAGCCCTTGTCATTACTATTATCTGACTGTCTAAGGTTGTTAACAATCAACCATGCTTCCTTTGACTTGTTTCTCGATTTTCTAATACGTTGACTATAGTGTAGCCTCTTTGCTGACCTCACCACCCTCCGATAGACAGCCCTATACCTGTTAAAATAAAAGACAAAATACAGACTGTCCATGAAAAACTTTCTAATGTAATGAAGTGCTCGCATATTTTGCGCAGATACTCTTATTGATTTAGTCAACCAGGGTTTTTTGGTTCTATTCTTTATAACAACAATGGGAAAGGCTTTGTTGAAAACATTTGACAACGCATAATGGAACTGCTATAGAGGATTATCACAGGTAGAGAAATTCCAGTCAACCTGGTTACTTTGCTCGCAAAATTTTCTAAAGTTTTTTTTACAGTATAGTCTTCCTTTCTTTGAGACAGAATTTGGTGTTTTAAGGTTAAATTTGAATTTTGATACGACAGCTTCATGATCTGAAATTCCAGAATGCCTGACGCTGCAAGAAATACACGATATATTCGAACAAATATAATCCAAAGTAGTAGAGGTATGCTTGGTTAATCTAGTAGGCTCTGTGACATGCATTTTAAGATTAAAACAGGACAGCAAATTAATAACACAACCATTGGAAGCTCCATTAAAATCAACATTCAAATCTCCAGTAAGGATTATTGAACAATCAACAGGTAAATTACTTAATCTACGTCGGTGTCATTATGACACATTTAGCATTGTCATTTGAATGTCATTAGGTCCTTCATAATAGCACTAGTGCGTTTAAGAATTCATAATAACACCCAAATTTTGAAATGAAAAATATACAAAAAGAAAGTTAGTTGCCAGAAGAACCTTTTCAATAATGCTGTCTCTATATTCGAAGAGACACTTTCGAACTCAGAATCACCAATAATAATATTATTTTCCACTATAAAATTGAATTTATGGCACAAAAATGGACTCCAATATTGAAGCTGCCAAAGTCAAAATTCTAAAAACCAACAAGCAGGTTCTCGACTAGTACGGGCACCTGCTAAATTTCAAATTTTAATTTGAGAAGTTTTTGCTATTTCAAGGCAAATCAAATCTATTTGGACCATTGTAGATTAAATTTTGAATGATACACGTTCGATATGAACTTTATTAATGAAACTTGTGTAACTAAACCACTCGGCTAACGCCTCGTGGTTTAAAGTTACACGCGTTTCATTATGGCGTTCATATCGAACTTGTATCATTAATAACTATAATATTTCTAAATTATTTAAAAAAATCGTCAGATTACCTGACGGAGAGTGATAAAGGCATACGACATAAATTCTGTATTTGGAACAATATACAATAGAACATTCAAATGCCCTTTCAACAGTCAAATAATCAAACTTGCAAACATTAGAAAAACTCAAGTCACCAATAAGTGTCTCATTTGCAAGCACCATAGTACCTACCTCCGTAAGCAGAGCCCATTCTAGAAAATTTTGAAACATTATAATTATCAATTTTAATAAACTCATCAGACTTTAACCAATGCTCCGTTATACAGAGTATGTCAGGAAAACCGAGATGTTATGTCTAATTTTATCCTATTTCTTATGTGCTGTATAAACCCACCTTATATTTTAAATTATTGCTCTGCACATACAGATATTAAATTAACTACATAGATGCCGAGAAAAACACTAGTAGAGACTCTATTGTGGATGATATTATTTCTTAATATTTTTAAGTCTATGTAATTTTCATTTTTGAATAAACTGATTGAATGAGATAAAAGATGAAATCGACCAAGAGCTTCTTGTATGCGACAAGAAAAAGGGGAGGAAAACAATAACAGTAATTAATTCAACTTGATCCTATTCAAAATAATCAGAAGGTAATTAGTCGATTTTGTTTATTATTTATTCTCTAGTCTCTTCTATCTGTGCGACGTCTTGAGAGAGGGCAAAGTTTAGATTGATGATTTTTAATATTCTATATTTCTTGTGTTCTAAACTTACCCTCATTTTCACTTCATAATCCGTGAATCGTTTTTTGCCAACACCAATAGTAGTAACAGGATTAACCACGTCTATTTCCAAGAAATTCGCCGGGGCTGCATAAGCATCATCCAATGTTTGCTTCTTCACATTCAGCCTTTTTATGGCTTCTGCAGTTGTATCGGATTCGGCCATCATTATCGCGATAAAGGAATTATTTATTAGCTAAAACTTTTGAAAATAACGATTAAGCATTAATGCTGAATTTAAGCACGTAGATGATTTTACTGATTAGCTAGCGACAGTTTTTTTAGGACGAAACACCCCCCAAAATCACAAAAAAATCTTCTCTACATAAACATGACACCAGTGAAGTGACAGCCAGTGGGTGACAGCACACCACAGTAAGACAAAGAAAGAAAAGTAGGGATGTGATGTTTCAGACTTGGCGCACTGAGAGAAAGAATAAACGTAAAAATTCCCTAGTCAGAATCACTCTAATCAAGAATTGATGTCGACCTCTTTTCAGAATGCCACAAACTATATGATTTTTATCCATACTCCGACTTTACGAACGGTAACTTTACGATAATCCGCACACCGAGTTATTGCACGCAGCATTGCTCGAAAGCCGGAGCAAAGCCGTTTTCTCGCGATCAAGTAGAGCTGCTTTCCAGTGCCTAAATTGTTAGAGTATCATGCTCCCGGAGTGTGACGCTATTGAACTGTTCGACATAAGCAGCACTGGAACGCTTTCGTCTTAATCCCTACCATTTCGGACTTCAGGAGCTGCAGGAGCATGGAACACCGAAATAAAGGTTGGTGCTCGAGGGGGCAGGGGATAACAGAAATGAGTAGTTCATATGTACGACACTCTAAGCACTGGAACGCGCAAAGTAGTTGTGGAGCACTCTTGAGCTGCTCAGGAGTAACTCAAATGGGTCACTGGAAAGCACCTCATGACATATTTCAAAACCGGTTTGCAACAGACAATGGAAACCCAGGATATAAATTGCCTCGTGTTGCGCGCGCATACCAGGTAAAAATAGATAGGTCTAGAGGCAAAAGAGGAACATGCAAACGAGATCAAAAAATGACTTGTTTTAGAATACTAATTAATTATTGTAGTAAAACCAAGTATGCATAGAGCAACGCCGAATCATTTATAACCTGTGATGCAAACAGCCTACGTCAAGGCGATAAACGACATGCTGCTTAGCTGCCTACTGGTCACAACTGGTGATTTGGCGTGGTGGGGGCGTCAGATTTGTTCTACACAGGCCTTATGAGGATAGGCTATCCTACAGTATTAGTGTGTATTATCCTTGAATGGAAACACCATTGCCCGTTTCAATCCGTGTTGTGATTTGTGAACCAATCAAAAAAGTGGACGCGAAAAAAAGATTCAAATCACCTTGGGCCGATCGACACCCAGCCAGAGCGAAGAGAGCTGAACGAAACACGTTAAATTTTGCTCGGCCATGACTTGAATTGACCCAAAATATTACACCAATCCACAACCGACCACACGCTTCAATTTCAGAATTCGAACTGAAAGGCGAAAGCTGTGCAGCTGTAGTGCAGCTAGTGGAAAACTGCTTGAAAACGCCAATCCCATTCTACTCTTTAGTCCTTTTCACGTGGCTCCGGTTTAAACTTACTGGGTTACAAAACGGTGAATAGCGATATGTCAAGTGATGACGTCATTGAAAATGCCACTTGAAAACGAACGGTTAGAAAAATGTGATTTCAAATTAGACAAGGTGTATTTTGAAAGAAAAAAAATGCCCATATCATTTATCTTAAACTTTAATTGACGTTTTCAATTAAAAGAGATGGACGATAAAGTATGAAAACATTCAGATTCCCGCCAACATTTGCTTGCTCGTCAATGTCAAGTGTATAGGGTGTTTAGCAATCCCCTGGTTTTTATTCTAATCGGTGACTCCACCAGTTAGGTATCTTTGTTCAGTGAATGGAGAATGACAATGACCGACATAGAATGGTGAAATTTGAAATTGGAAAGAAAATGTGGGAAGCAAACAGCTTTCGCAAACTAAACTTGAACGTGGATATCTTTGTATACTTGATGGGTCGTGGATTTCCCTTACTTTTGCGAGTATCAGTTCTGATTTTGTGTATCCAAATTTTGACAAATGTAGGATTTGATGAAAACTTATGGAAAGACACGTCCGCCGGTGAATTAGGCAATTCAAACCACGTGACATTCAAGATGGCGTGGCGGCCACACATGGGCCAAAAAATACAACAAAATTTATAATTTCTGCCCGATTCAATAGTTTAGATACCTAGGCAACAAATATTTTATTAAATAATCAAAATCAAAGTTGCAAGCAAAACTCTAAGCAAAATAATTTAAAATACGCATAAAAACATATTCAAAACAAACTTGCTTGGCCGCCACGCCATATTGAATTTTCCTATTTGACAGATGGATTGAATTGCCTAATAGGAAGTATTTTCACGAAAAGGCACACTACACACAATCACCATTGTTAGGAAAAAACCTTGATAAAACCGAGGAAATAATAGTTTCCAGTCTCACACGTATAAAACTCTTGTCAACAAACCACTGTCAATAGTTGTCAATCATTGTTTTCATCTTTTTTGGCGTCTGACAGTCTGACACCAGAGAGAGAGGCTTCTAAATTGAAAAGGTCAATTGGTTCCTCCTTAATGAACTACATTCGTCGCGAAAATTCGCTTTAAGTAGAAACTTAAAAATAATATTAACAAAATACAACTTTATATTTAATCACCTGACACAATTTTCCCGCTCTCCGTTGTTTAAAAATTTTAATTTTTTTTTTTGTTCTAACGGTTAAGGGCCGGTTTCTCAATAGCAAGTCACCTCCGGGTTAAGCATAACTCCAGGGTAAATATTGCAAATGGACACGTTTAGCCTGGAGTTAAAATCAACCCGGAGGTGACTCGCTATTGAGAAACCGGCCCTAAATGTAACCATAGGTGCGTATGATAAGTCCAACTGGTCCAACTAGTCCAAATGTTGACACTTTTTACCCTGACCCCTCATTAATGTCGCACTTTTAACACCATTCGTACCGTATACCACGTGTTGCTAAATTCACCAAAATGGTGCACCGCCACGGATACGGTGACTAAAATTCAGTAATGCTAATGCCAAACCATAGCTTGTCAAACCCTGTTTAATTTAACAACACTGCTTGTTCTACCATTCCACCAAGGTGCCTACACCAGTTGAATTTAGCCACATGCGGAATTGCGGAATGTGTTCCACTTTCCCGGTGTAGTTTAGATGGTTGCGTTCCAAAACATAACTGCACCGCACTAACGCTAACCGGTTCAGACAAATCGTACGCACCACATATCGCCGAGCTGGTTAGAGAAACGACATACCGTTTCCTAGCCCGGTTACGAAGTGACGTCGTCGACCACTCGAATTTGAGCGGTATGTTCCAGTTTGTTAAACCGGAGCCACGTGAAAAGGGCTATTGGTATTTGTTGTGATCGATTAGAGGTTAAGGACAAGGTAGTGTTGTGAGTTGTACACTTCCATACACTTGTAATTTACTAGTATAATCTGATGTACTATTATGCTGTGGTGCTACTAGATTCAAAGATTGATTATTAGGTCAATCAAAAATCTATAAAAAGTTGCCTAGTGTGGTACTGCTACATACTTACCTACCGAGTTACCTATTTGCCTTAACCATGAGCAATTTTTTCAAAATTTTTCATGGGTTGCAACAATTTGAATCACCATCCCAACCTATGGAATTTTCAATTTCCAAGTGAGTATTATGCCTGTTTTGTTTTCTCAATATAGGATAAGGATAAGATAGATTGATAAGAAAGAATAGGTGCTACACTAAAGTAACAAGTAACCAATGCCTAGTTTTAGTTATATGCCTGGTTTAGGTATACCTTAGAGTTAAGTAATGTATGTTGCTATTAATGGAGATTCCAGTGGTTTTAGTAATTTGCAGTCCTGTTTCAATCTTAATGCATGTCACAGAGCCTACCGAGGAGCCTACTAGATTAAAGATTAACCAACTACTTTGGATTATATTTGTTTGAATACCTATATCGTGTATTTCTTGCAGTGTCAGGCATTCTGGAATTTCAGATCATGGAACCTTCATATTATCAAAATTCGAATTCTGTCTCACACACCAAAATCTGTCTCCACAAGAAAGGGCAGACTATTTTGTAAAAAAAAACATTAGAAAATTTCATGAGAAAAATTACCAGGTTGAGTGGAATTTCTCCCGCTATGATAATCCTCTACAGCAGTTCCATTCTATTGTTCGTCGATTTTTAACTGATACTTGCGGTATGAGGTGCAAGGGGGTGTTTCATATGGCAAAAACAGGTGTGACGTCAGGTAACCATTGGCGTTCTAATGTAGGAAGCCACCAACTCACATTCCGTCCGAGTATCAGATTAAAATCGACGAACAATACGTTGTCAAATGTTTTTAACAAAGCCTTTCCCGTTGTTGGTTTAAAAAAATAAAACCAAAAAACTTTGACTAAGCAATTAGAGTCTCGATTAGAGTATCACAAAATATGCGAGCACTTCATTATTTTAGAAATCATGGACATTCTGTATTTTGTCTCTTATTTATAGGTAGGTAGGATGGTATAGGGCTGTCTATTGGAGGGTGTTGAAGTAAGCAAAGAGGCTACACTATAGTCAATGTATTGAAAAATCAAAAAACTAGTCAAAGGAACGATGGTTAATTGCTATAGTTATTAGCGTTATAAGGCTGATTAGTACCTAGCAATGTCAACTACTTAGTTGTGGTCTATTAGAGAGAGAGCATCTAAATTCAAATTCAAAAAAGCTTTATTGTCCAAAGTACATGAAGTTCTCATTGACAAAGCACTAAAAATAATCTTAAAAATAAAAAATAGCATCATAATAAATATATATCCTAGCGAGTATCCTAGTATGCTATCAAAAAAATTCTTAGTATAAAAATCTGACAACAAAAAATAAAAAACGAGAACAAAATCCTAAGCTAAAAACGATCACAAGAAAATTCGTTCAAACTATAATAAGCCGCACCAACCAGCAACCACTTAACTTCCTAACTAAAATGTCTCAGGGATGGGATGGATATCAAATTCCTTGGCAAGTGGTTGTAGATTTTAATGCTTTCATTTGTGACAGATTTTTTTACCAGTGTGGAGTGGAGTATGGGTAACATTAAGTTGGACGCATTTCGGGTCAAATAGATAGAATTATGGGACATAAGTCTGTGCCAATTTTTGTAGACAAGTGTAACTGTTTCCAAAATAAATAGACTGTACAAAGTTACAATTTTCTCCCTCTTAAATAAAGGTCTGCAGTGATCTCTATTGTTAGCACCACAAATGTACCTAAGAGCCCACTTCTGTAATATTAAAACAGAGTCAAACAGATTCTGGGAACAGAACCCCCAAAAGCAGATACCATATCTTAACCTTGACTCAATCAAGCAAGGCAAAATAGACTGATCTGGACAAGGAACATCCCAGTTCAGTGGCCTTTATTCTGACTGCAAAACACCCAGATGATATTTTTCTTGAAAGACTCACAATGTGAGATTTAAAACTCAATTCATTGTCAATAATAAGTCCCAGAAACTTGGTCTCAGGTCGACATTCGATAGAAATATTGGGGACGTTGACGAGTCCTAGATCGCATCTAAATGACAAAATATTTGTTTTGGCTAAGTTTAACACCAGAAGATTAGAATCACACCCAGATTTAATAATAATATTTATTAATAGCTTGAAGCTAACATGTATAATGTATAATATTTAGAGTTACAGTACAAAATTTTTATTATAGTGCAATATTCTCTTTCACATATCTAAAGCAGTCCCTTTTAAATGAATTTAGACTTTCACAGTTCTTCACGTGGTTTGGTAGATCATTGTATAGTATCAGTCCTTTATGGAACAAGTTCTTCTGGTCGAATGTTCTATGCACAGTTCTAACATAAGAGTTGTTTGTCGATATTGTGAAATGATTATATATATCCTGTACATTAACGCAGTTGTCAAGCAAATGACTAGGCACCAGTCCATGAACCATTTTGTAAATAAATACCAGTGTATTATAATTTATTGACTGCCGAACACTTAAAATACCAACAGTATCCAACATTGTTTTTATGTTTGCATATGTATTTGTGTCCAAAATAATACAAAGAGCTTGATTTTGTCTTTTTTGCATTGTATTGATTTCAGTGTTGTTTAGGAGAAACCATATTGTTCGGCAGTAATTAAAATATGGCATAATTAAAGTCTTGTATACTAGAAGTTTGGACCATTCACTCAATGTTTTTCACATTCTGCCCAAGGCGTTTACCCTACTAGCAATTTTGCTAGTTATATAGGATGAGTGTTTCGAAAATGTTAAATGTTCATCTATAATAACACCAAGATATTTAAACTCCTTTACTCGTTCAATTTCAATCCCATTTACTGTCATGCCTGGATGTTGTGTCACATCTATTGTGTTCGTCCTAGTTCTAATCTAATCAACATAAATTTGGTCTTTTCAATATTAAGGCTTAGATTGTTCTTATTTAACCATATAGCTAAGTTCTCCATTTCTTTATTTAGGGTGTTCACCACAGTGTTTATATTATTACCAGCACAATATAACAATGTGTCATCTGCAAATAGTTGTATATGACAGTCTTTTATACAGTTTACAATATCATTTATATACATCACAAATAAATTTGGTCCCATCACTGTTCCCTGAGGCACACCGCAGAAGGTATCTCTCAAAGAAGACTCACTCTCGCCAAGTCTGGTTTTTTGACTTCTTCCAAACAAATAACTTTCTATCCACTGAAGCGCTTTATTTTGAATGCTGTACTTTTCCAGTTTGATGATTAACAGCTGTCTATCAATTGTCTCAAATGCTCTTCAGAAGTCGAGAAATAATGCCCCTATCACCAAATTGCCCTTCAATGAATCCTTCCATTTTGCTAGCACTGTCTGTAGTGCACTCTCACACGAATTATTTATTCTGAAACCTGCCTGATAGCATGTCAGATTGAGCTGCTGAAGATCTGTGAGAATAGCTCGTTTTAGACTCTGATGGTCAGCACAGTGCCATAGAATTGTGGTGCGTCTCCCAACAAAGTAAATTTTCCGGTAATATTTAGTGATTCAAGGTCATTTATAAAAATAAGAAATAAGAGTGCTCCTATAGTACCGACCCCTGAGGTACACCCCAATTATTTTCCAAAACCACCGATTGAGACGACCCAATGTAAACCTTCTGATGACGATCAGACAAATAGGATTGAAACCATTTGAGTGTCACTCCTCTAAAGCCATAGTGAGAGAGCTTCTGCAACAGGATGTGGTGATTGACACAATCAAATGCCTTTGATATATCGCAGAAAGCTGCTGCAGTTACTCCACCACTATTAAAGCCGCAATAAACACCTTCCAGAAATTGGAAAATCGCATCATCTGTATTACGATGTTCCTGAAAGCCAAATTGAAGAGAACTCAGAACATTGTTTGTATGAGATAAGAATGAAACCACTCTACTTTTAACCAGCTTGTCTACAATTTTGGATAGATTAGAAAGTAGTGATATGGGCCTATAGTTAGAGGGATCCCCCAAATCTCCTCTCTTGTGAAATGGAATTACTTTTGCCAGCTTAAGGCATGAAAAGAAGACACCAGACTCCCAAGACAAATTGATTGCCTGAACCAAAACATCCAAAACCTTGTCAGGCAAATTTGCAAATAATTTTATTGACAGAGCATCATCCCCAGAGCTTTTTTTATTTTTAATACCTGATATGATGTGTTTTAATTCTTCAAGGGAAGTAGGAAAAAAGTAAAAGGAACGATTGACCCCTGCATTATTTGAGAGAAAACTTAGTGGATCATTGTGTTGAGTAATATTTTTGGTCAGATTTTCTGCCATAGTGTAGTAAAATTTATTGACTGAGTCAGGAGACATGTCGCTATCATTGATGCTTGGGGAAAAATGACTTATTTTACGAATATCGTTTATAATCGACCAACTTTCCCTTTGTTTGTTGGATGCATTTGCAAGACGATACGAGTAATGTAATTCTTTGGCCAACTTAATAAGTTTTCTGTAGATTCACGGGTAGATATTGAAATAGGCGTATAAGTGTGGATTATGTGTGAATCTTCTAATATAGTGAAGATTTCGAAGATTCTTAGAGGACACCTTAAGTCCTCTAGTAAACCAGGGTTTTTTTATCTGTTAATTCAATTTTCCTAACAGGAAATGTCGTGTGAAAATTTTGCATCAAATTATTGTGAAACTCCCCAATAGGATCCAGAGATGAAAAAACACTCTACCAGGAAGCACTATCACATAGTCGGTGAAACCTATCATAGTTCGACGAACCAAAAATTCTGCCCTGTTTATACCTTATTGTTTTTTTTATAGGGATCATGTGAGCTTTACACAAAACGGCATTATGATCGGACAAGGCAGCATTATTAACTGAGCAATCAAAAATGTCAGAATAAATATTTGAACATGCATTATCTATCAACGTAGACGTAAATTTTGACACACGAGAAATTGGTCAGTCTTATGGTTACAGTCATGCCTGTGTCATGAAAATTAATATTTAGGTCACCTGCTAATATCACAGAGGAAGATACCAGTATTGATGATAAAAGGGCCTCCTCCATCCTATTGAAAAATGCATTGATTTTTACATTCGGTGATCTGTAAACACAATAGCATAAAAATTTAAAGCTTTGGAGAATGCAATAGAAAATTCAAATATTTTTTCTTCTTTTTTTTACTATGGGTTGAAAAGAATTGACAGTTAGGAATTTAGTCTATTTTTTTTAGAATCTATTCTCATATACCTACCTATTGAAAATCAAGAATGTATTTACAAGAAAAAAATCGTTGGTAGGAGATCTTAATATTAGTTGCTTGAACGACTATTATGTGGGTAACTTCAGGGATCAACAGATAAATATGTTTTTGAATTTTCTCGAATTTTTTTGATTGCCACCAGATGAATCGGATACTAAATGGAAATAACCGCTTACTTGATGTTGTTATAACTAACAGTAAATGTAGCACTAGAAAACAAAAAAATTTGACAGGGAATGGGAATAGTCACTCCCAAAATTACAACTTCAGGAAAGCTGATTTCGACGCTATGTATCCATTGTTTCACAATGCTTCCTGGAATGACCTGGAATCTCTTGATGATGTGAATATGGCTGTTAAGCATTTCCATGATAAAATATATTATAATATTTTTGAGATCTGTGTTCCAAAAAGAAAAAATTGCTCAAAGATATATCCTGTATACTTTACAAAGCATATTATTAAAGATATAAAGAATAGAATAAAGAGAAGTTGAGAACTATGAGTAAGAGGACAAAAAATGCAGAAACATATAAACAATTTATTCAATGGGCTCTTTCACTAAAATTTAAATACGTAATTTAAGTATAAAATCCCAAAGGAGGGACTATTTTAGGCATATATACCAAAAAAAAAATTTCTACAAGGTTAAATAAGTTTTTAACAGGCATTTGAAAATGGCCAAATTCAAACTGATTTAAAACGCGCCGATTCGCTGACGTCACATAAATATTTTCCATTTCGCTCATGTTGTTGCAAGAAGCTGACCGGCTCGGCTGTGTTGCGCTCTGTGAAAGCACAGCAAGTATACGTAAAGGTTCGAATGCGCTGTTGTCGGTTGTGACTGAATGTAGTGCAACGTAAAAAAATAAAATAAAACTAAACATAAAAAATTGTAGTAAATTGTATTTAAGCATAATTTCAAAAAAAAATGTTATAAAATCTTGAATCCATAATTAATTAATTGAACTACTTTTCATGATATTTTTCAAACATTTCAGAATTAAATCTATTACAAATTTTCAATGTTACAATTAGTGGCAACTGGCAACACGGTCAAATTGCGAGCTGCGACGTCATAGAAATAAATTCTGGGTTTTTATTTGGAGGTATTTCTTATTTTTCTGTTTTCTCAAGAAGGACTATGAATTTTTCAAAAGTAAAAATACAGAAAATTCAGTTTTTAGTTGCTTTATCCAAATATGCCAATTTCAAAAATTAGTGAAAGAGCCCATTAAGAAACAAGATAAAAAAGGACATAAAGAAAGCACACGAAGATTATTTGATTGAAATTCAGCAAGACATCAGCCAGGATTCAAGGTTATTTTGGCGATATGTGAATAACAAAAAGTGTTGTTGGTATACCTAACACAATGCATCTTAATAATTTGCAATTTGTTGATGGTAAATCAATATCGAATGCGTTTGCTGCATATCTCAGTTCAGTCTATGCCAACGATCCTGAACACTCTAACATCCATGATGTACTGGATGACTGTCAGGTTTTTGATGCTTTGTGTTTGGACCAAATCAAATATGAGGTTGTTTGTCATGCTGTCAGGAGCCAGTTAACAAAGCAGTTAGTCCGGATAATGTGCCATCATTTGTTTTCAAGGGAATAATCGGTTTTTTGGCAGAGCCACTTAGGATTTTGTTTAACCTTTCATTGAAGACAAACACTTTTCCTCAAGCATGGAAAGAGGCACAGATTTGTCCTAGGTCAATTAAAAATAAATTACAATTCAATATTGACAAATGTTTTGTGCTTAGTTTTAGTAGAAGAAAAACGCATCCTAACTATAAGCATTTTAACTATGAACAAAAGGGCACTGGCAAGGGTTGCAGAAATTCGGGATCTTGGGGTAATATTTGACACCCAGAAGTCATATAAATGACATAACAAGTAGGACATCTAAAATGTATAGATTTATTGTCAGAAATTGCAAAGAGCTCAATATATTGTGTATTAAAACGCTGTATTTTTCATATGTGAGAAGTATATTAGAATATTGTTCTATAATATGGAGCCCGTGTTCTGAGAACCATAAATATAGTATCGCTTGATAGCTATGGTTTCCGTTTGTATTTTCTTTGTATCTATACTCAAGCATATTAATGTCCTCCAGTTTGACATGGCTTTAGATAAAAAGTTTTGAATGCAGGGATCTATTTTATAAATTTCAAGGACTTTCTGAAGCGGACAAAATCGAAGGTTTTTTTATAGTCGAAGTAGCATGCTTGCAGATTTCTCTCTACTTGTCTCATTATCACGCTATCTATTATCAATTGTTTTTATTATTATTATTATTACTATTGAACTATATAGTATAACTTGCTTTTTTTGCAGTGTGGTTGTTTTGGTGTTGATTAGTAGATATAGAATTGTTGAGCAGTAGTTTAAGTGAGGAAGTATTATTACATTATATTATATTGTCAATTTTGACCACTGGCCTAGTTATGAACTCATTCTCCCTAATGGGTTTGTTTTCTTTGTTATGTATTAGCTATTTGGATCAGCCTTTTGTGATTTTTGTTGGTATTAAATTTTTTTATTAATAAATGTGTCAAGCAGAATCAAATTTGCATAACTAAAAAGCGTTAGGTATTCGAATAGGTAATATATCGTGATGACTTGAAAAAGAGAGCACCCTACCTATTAGCTATGGTTCATTCTGTGTTGGGAGTAGATGAGTTCAACTTGTGCTCTACAAAATACCTCGTTAACAACATACATTCATGTTTCTACTTGCTATATACAGAAATCTTTGTTCTAGGTGCGAATACAGCAGAATTGAAAACAGATTCAAATACGCTGAAGATGTTGAAATAGCTGTCGGTCTAATTTATCTAGAGGAATTGCGTGGTATAGTTGAAAAGCATATTAAAGCAAAAGTCAAAGATGACCTGCCCTTAGAGGAATCTATTTGTGAAAATATGGTACAACTCATCAAAGAATTCAAACTAGGTCATACATTTAATAAGCAGTTATTTTCTCGTGAGCCTGTAAGTACCTTGGAAAAAATAGAATGGCTCATTGAAAACATTACTGAGAGGCTTTCTAATGACCATTTCTATAAAGCACCACGATCTTTTAAATTAGAAAAGATTGATTTGGATAAACTCTCAAAACCGATAAATCCCTTATTTTACATTCCACTGGGCCACAAACTACCAGATAATACTAACTATAATAAGAGTGACAGCAAAAATGAATTTTCATTACTATATTCGGGAGCAAAAAAGGACAATGAAATTTATCCACTGCAAGCAATGTTTGAACTTAACAAAAACTCATTTCCTAGTTACACTTATGAGGAATTTAGTGCAATTATTGCAGAACAACTTACATCTGACAGAAGCGATGATGAAATTGTGACCTATTTGCTTGACATTTTTGGATGCACTGTTTTTGATTTTCTTGGTGAAATTATTAGCAATCGGCATAAAAATATTGATTATAGAGCAACAAAAGTCAATAATAATGTAAAGTTGGTAAAGCCACCCCCAAAAAGTACTTCGAATGCTGTGATAGCAGGCACTGTGACAGTACAATCAGAAAAAGAAAGCAATTTGCTTAAAAAAATGAGGAAAATAGAGAAAAAAGACAGGAACAAAGGTGAAATTAAGGAAACTGCGACAGAATATGAAGCTGCCAAAAATACACCTTTATTTAAAAAACAAGTATTCAGGTTGGACCCAAATGAGTATCCTCATGTCCATGATGAAATGAGGAGCAATATGATAGAAACAAAATATGATGGTGTTACAGTATGTCAACCAGCAAACGCAATTAAAAAAAACACTAGTCAATATGCAGAGTTCACAATTCCTGGTTCCAAAAAAGACGACATCGATAAGATACCGAAAGTTCAAGTTAGTTCACTGGACAATCTTGGCAAATTGGTGTTCAAAGATATAAAAGAATTTAACGTTATACAATCTGAGGTTTTTCCAGTAGCATATAATTCTAATGAAAATTTGTTAATATGTGCTCCTACAGGTGCTGGAAAAACTAATATAGCTTTACTTTCAATTGTGCATCGAATTAAATGTCATATGGAAGGAAGTAATATTAAGAAAAATGAATTTAAGGTAGGAACCTAACACATATGTATCTATATCTGTATCTGCATTTTTGACTTATTTTATAGATTGTCTATGTTTGTCCCATGAAAGCCCTTGCGACAGAAATGGTAGAGAATTTTCGGAAGAAACTAGCACCCATTGGAATATCTGTAAAGGAATGTACTGGTGATATGCAATTAACAAAAAAAGAAATCTTTGAAACACAAATGCTAGTTACCACACCTGAAAAATGGGATGTTATTACTAGGAAAGGAGCAGGTTAACTACATTTTTAATTTAAAAAATTATTTTAAACTTACAATATTATTTTTAGTTGATTCTGAAATAGTCGGTCTAGTTAAACTACTAATAATAGATGAAGTTCATCTTCTTAACAGTTCAAGAGGGCCTGTAATTGAAACTTTAGTGGCCAGAACTCTCAGACAGGTAGTAAGCTCACAAAGCATGATTAGAATTGTAGCTTTGTCAGCTACTTTACCGGGTTATTTAGATGTAGCACAATTTTTAAAAGTCAACACCAAAACTGGACTATTCTTTTTTGATAATAGATATAGATCTGTACCGTTGACTACCTCCTTTATAGGAGTAAAAGGAAGCCGCGGCGAGGAATCTGCGACTATGGATATGATTTGCTATACCAAAGTAGTGGATTTTATTAGAGACGGCCATCAGGTAATTTCGTGGTATTTTTTATCTGTATGTATAACAATTTCGATATTATTTCAGGCTATGATATTTGTAACCTCAAGAAACGCCACAGCTTCAGTGGCAAATAGAATTATAGAAATTGCACAAAGTAAAGGTACTTTACACCTTTTTGAACCAGAAAGAAGCATAAAAATACACAAAGCAGGTTATAAAACAAGCGAATTAGGACGATTGGTGCCTCTTGGATTTGGCATTCATCATGCAGGTAAGCATCAAAAACACAAAATGTTAACTCGGGCATACTTTTTCGATACATATGTATATATTTTCAAGGAATGGTCCGAAGTGATAGATTAGCAGTTGAACATTTATTTAGAACAGGAGAATTGAAAATTTTAGTATGCACAACCACACTTGCTTGGGGTGTAAATTTGCCTGCCCACGCTGTTATTATACGCGGAACTCTCCATTACGACTCTTCAAAGTCATCTTTCGCTGATATGGACATGTTGGACGTCCAACAAATTTTTGGACGCGCCGGAAGACCACAATATGACACTTCTGGACATGGTCTGATTATAACATCTATGGAAAATATGTCCAAATATATGGGACTTATGTTATCACAAACACCGATTGAAAGTCAATTTTTGAATTGCATTTCTGATCATTTGAATGCTGAAGTCATTTTGGGAACCGTTTCCAATTTAATGGAAGCTGTGGAATGGCTTTCGAATACATTTTTGTATTGTAGAATAAAAAAAAATCCACTAGTTTATGGTTTAACCTTCAACGAAGTTTGGGATACTTCGCAATTCAATAAATTCTTGCAAGGACAATTAAATAATGCCGCCAATATTTTGGAAGCATCACAAATGATTAGGTTTGATCGCACTCTAGGGGAATTGAGGCCAACGAATTTTGGTAGAATAGCAAGTTTTTATTATATTTCACATAAAACAATGGATTTATTTTCCAAACGTTTCCATAGACATATTTCTGAGGCAAATTTATTCAAATTATTGGGTGAAGCTGAGGAATTTAAACAAATTCAAGTTAGAATGGATGAAGTAAAAGAACTTGAGCGTTTACTTGAATACAATGAGTACGATATTGATTTGCCCGTTGGGACAAGCGGATCTGCAAAAGTTTTATGTTTGGTACAAGCCTATATTAGCAGAGCTCCAATTAGAGTTTCCTCCCTGATATCGGATTCTAATTATATAATGCAGGTAAGAAAATAATTCTCTAATTTTAAACTTCAGGAATATTTTTTTCCTTAAGTACTTTCTCCCAAATAATGGACTATCCGTTTTCACCCATCAAAGATGTGAATCCTGAGAAAAGGTTGACAAGAACAACATATTATTCCTAAGGTTTTCACCTAAAGGAGTTTCTTTAACTGAATTTTTTGATACATTTCTTGACTCTACCCAGTATTTTTTTCCAGACTATTGTACGACTAGCAAGGGCTTTATTTGAAATTGCCAAAAGCAAAAACTACGCCCTGCAAATGTCCAGAGCCTTAACCTTAGCTCAAATGCTTGAACAACAAATGTGGGATCATATGCATCCTCTAAGACAATTTAAAGAGCTTTCACAGCATCTTGATAGCCACAGAGCTTCAGAAGTCTTGATGTTGAATATTGAAGATTTAAAAGAAATGTCCGAAAGGGAATTGGAAAATTTATTCAGGTCCCGACATGTTGGTAGTAGAGTCAAACATTATTGTAATGTATTTCCTACGGTTGATGTGGAGCAAATTGTACAACCTATTACAGAGGGAGTGATTCGGTAGAGTAATTTTTTTAACATTAGTTTTCGAATCATTTTTATTTTTGTTTCAGTGTCAAATTAACAATAACACCTACATTTAAATGGGATAACCAAATTCATGGGGGAGCACAACATTATTACGCCTGGGTAGAAGATCCAAGACATGATGCTGTGTATCATATAGAATCATTTGTGATAACAAAAAAAAACTGTCAGGACGCTGATAATACTGTAGATCTAGTTTTTACTGTACCATTGACGAAACCTTTATCTTTTGAATATTATGTGAGGGTTGTTAATAGTCAATTTATGCGTAAGAATAATACAACATTTTTTTTTCATTGGTAATATTTTCCATCTGTATTTCAGATTCTCATGAAACTGGTGTAATTGACTTGGAAAATATGATACAATTTCCAAAAGATTCTTATCAGACCACTATTTTGGATCTATATCCTTTACCAAAAAATGTTTTAAAAAATAAATCCTTCGAAGAATTATATTCATTTACACATTTTAATGCTGTACAAAGTCAAGTTTTTCATTCCTGCTATCATACAGACACGCCAATCATTTTGGGAGCTCCAACCGGATCTGGCAAAACTATAGTCGCGGAATTGTGCATTTTAAGACTATTTCGCTGCAATCCAAATAAAAAGGTAAAAATTATTACATACTTTTATTGTTTATAATTTGTTCTTTTAGGTCGTCTATATTGCACCAATGAAAGCCCTAGTTCGCGAACGTGTTAAAGATTGGTCCACAAAGTTTGCTAAGATCAATAAAAAAGTTATAGAAGTGACTGGAGATGTAACTCCTCGCTCTGAATTTATCAGATCGGCTGATATTATTATCACAACCCCTGAAAAGTGGGATGCAATGAGCAGAAATTGGACTGAAAAAGATTTTGTGAAACAGGTGGGGTTGATGGTTATCGATGAAGTTCATCTTTTAGGTAAATATTTTTTGTTTGGAAAACAGTTTTATGTTTTACAGAAACTGAAAAACACATCCAAAATTCTACTTGAGAGAACAGAACACAATTTTTTTTTTAAATAATTTTTTGCCACACCAACGTAGCTTTTTTTAAATGTTTGCTACAATACTAGTTTTTAACAAAATGCTAATTTTATATATGAATGGGTATGTTAATGTACTGCAAATTTCCGAAAGTTGCGTTGCGTTTTGTTTGTTAAATAACTATTTGAGTCTTAATTAGTGAGGAAATGCATGTGCAATGAAGCATTCCATGGAGGTTCCGCCTACTGTTTCGTGTAAAGCCCATTATACTACAGAGTCTAGATAAGCAAATCCTGAGAGGATGCATAAACAGTTAGAGGCCAATTTTGTTGAGGATCTTATTAGGGCAATGTATATCGCCAGGAATTTACTCTTAGATAGGTTCAGAGACTAAGGCAGCCAGTAAGCAGACGACATCTTAAAATAATTGGGATTAAATAGAAATATTGGAAGATGATGGACTGATGGACAGATATTGACCATTGGATGAAATGAAGTCATGTATGAGCAGGAGCCTGAGAACATAGTTCACCGTGAAAATTTCCTTGTAATAGACGCAGAATAGAGGCATATCGAGTGATTCATTCTTGGGTTTAGGATGACTGATGAGTTGTTTAACCAAGCCATTTTATGATCAAGGTAGAAAGCAACAAAATGCCATATATTTACCAGTAGACAGAATATCAGTATATGAACCACGGAAAGTCAAAGTAAAACAGCAAAAAATATGATTATTGAACGTAAAAACATGAAGTTAGTCAGTTAGTCACACAACATCTCAGGTGAGAGCACTGGCTAGAGGAGGATGAGGGTCAGTTAGTCATAAACGTCAAAAACAAAATTTTGTCTAATGCTATGTGGATGAAAACGTTTAGAACTTAAATTATTCATATAACATCCTCTTTTTTTTCAGGTGAGGAAAGAGGCCCTGTTTTAGAAGTCATAGTATCCAGGATGAACTGTATCAACAATAAAAAAAATACTAACGTCAGGATTATTGGACTTTCAACTGCTATGGCTAATCCTGGTGATCTTGCTTATTGGCTGAATTGTGATAAGGTTGGTATAGTGTTGGCTAACACGTATCATTTATTTTTTTTGCCCAAAGTAATGCAACTTATTTCAATTTTTTATTATTTTTTGATGCTCTAGTTCTTATTTTTTTCTTTTCTTTCAGAGAGGTTTATTTAACTTCAGCTCTGCCGTTAGACCAGTTCCTCTAGAAATCCATCTTCAAGGTTTCGATGTGAAAAACTACTGCCCTAGAATGGCTGCTATGAACAAATCAGTATATCAAGCCATATGTCAATATGCCCAGGATAGTTCCTCATTAATCTTTGTGTCATCCCGTAAACAAACTAGAATTACGGGTGGTGAATTGATGAAATATGTGTTGAATGAAAATAATCCGCACAGATGGATCCATTGTCATCCTGACGAGTTAGAAGATGCCAAGGCTAGAATAATTGATCAAGATTTATTAGAATTAATATCGTATGGTATCGGAATACATCATGCAGGGCTGGTTGATTCAGATAGGCATTTAGTTGAACATTTATTTGTCAATCAAAAAATTCAAGTTCTAATTGCAACGGCTACTTTAGCTTGGGGAGTTAATTTTCCGGCTAGATTAGTCATAGTCAAAGGTACAATTTTTTTTTAAATATTCATAGTTCAAGACATTATTACAGATTATCATATTTAGGTACAGAATTCTTCGACCCGACAACCAAGCTTTACAGGGACATGCCTATCACTGACGTCATACAAATGTGCGGTAGGGCGGGTAGGCCTCAATTTGATAGTAGTGGTGTGGCTTGTGTTATGGTTGAAGAGAGCAAGAAGAACTTTTATAGGTAAGTTATTACATGTTATTTGATTGATGGTTGCAAATGCCTTAGATCTATAAAAATATTCGAATATCAACTATTCTTATAATGGGCTCTTTCACTAATTTTTGAAATTGGCATATTTGGATAAAGCAACTAAAAACAGAATTTTCTGTATTTTTACTTTTGAAAAATTCAAAGTCCTTCTTGAGAAAACAGAAAACAAAGAAATACCTCCAAATAAAAACCCAGAATTTATTTCTATGACGTCGCAGCTCGCTATTTGACCGTGTTGCCACTAATTGTCAACATTGAAAATTTGTAATAGATTTAATTCTGAAATGTTCCCAAAATACAAAATATCATGAAAAGTAGTTAAATTAATTAGTTATGGATTCAAGATTTTATAACATTTTTATTGAAATTATGCTTAAACACAATTTAATATAATTTTCTATGTTTAGTTTTATTTATTTATTTTACGTTGCACTACATTTAGTCACCACCGACAACAGCGCATTCGAACCTTTACCTGCATTTACTACAGGATAAATACAGCAGAGGCGGACAGCTCTTTGCAACAACAAGCGAAATGAAAAATATTTATGCGACGTCAGCAAATCGGCGCGTTTTTAAATAATTCAAATTTTGGTAGTTTAAAATGCCTGTAAAAAACTTATTTAACCTTGTAGAACATTTTTTTTTGGTATATGTGCCTAAAATAGTCCCTCCTTTGGGATTTTATACCTAAATTACGTATTTAAATTTTAGTGAAAGAGCCCATTGACACTTTCTCATTTTTTTTTTTTGCAGAAAGTTCTTATTTGAACCATTCCCTGTTGAATCCAATCTTTTAGAATCGCTGCCCGACCATGTAAATGCAGAGATCGCTAATGGAAATGTTGCAACCAAAAATCAACTAGTAGAATTTATTGAGTCAACATTTTTCTTCAGAAGGTATTTTTTTTCTTCTAAACGGTAAAAAAACTAATTTCCTAATTATTGTTAGATTACTAGCCAATCCGAGCTATTATCAGCTACAACCCAATGACGATCCCTTACAATATGTTAGTGATTTGGCAGATTCTGTTGTTGATGCGTTACGACAACGTGATTGTGTTACGATGCCAGAAAAAGATGTAAGTAGTTATGAGGCAGGCATATTAGGTGATTAACTAGTCTAACGCCGATTTAACTCACCTTCTGATAAACTGTCAGGGGCAATGCAATCTGACAGATAAAAACGCTATTATTCTATTGGTCGACCAGTTATCTGCAGACCAATATTATTATAGATACGTCAATTTATACAACAATACAACTTTAGGGCTTATTATGGACACTGAAATCTAACTTTTATATATTTCTCTTAGAACTAACAAAACCAACTTTCTCATATTGTTTGCCATTCCGGAAGTACAATTTTATAGGAAGTTTTGAAAACGTCTCTTTAGATCTAGCTAGTAGTGGTGGTGTGCCAATAACTTTCTCTTGCATTTCTGTTAATGAAAAACTTTATGTAGGAGAATATTATGTAGATTCTAGTCCTTTTGCGTTTTCAATATTTAGATTTCCCAAGTCTAAGAAAAAGTTATGTTGGAATTTTTCAATCCTGGCAATGTGGACATAGAATGGATACCTTTATAAACACAAATGTAAATATCTCATGAATGTGAGTTATTTGACACTATTAATACCAATCCAGAAAAATTTGAAACATCACTGTTGCTTTAGTATTGCACATTCTTGTATTCTACCAGAGTTGAAAATCAAGATACTTCGAAATATATTTCTATTATTATCAGTTAGGCTAATATGTGGCCGGTTTTTCGATAGCGAAAGCGAGTCACCCCCGGTAAAGCATAACTCCGTGGTAAGCATAGCAACTTGACACGCTTACCCTGGAGTTAAAACAAACCTGAAGGTGACTCGCTATCGAGAAACCAGCCCTATTAGTGTTATTTTTCTTACACTAGTTCTTCACTATTCACTATTACACTTTGTCCAGTTGTTCTTGGCATTACCATTCTGCTTCTTGAAACTATTTTTTTCATGTGATATCTTTGTTATCTTTTCCTCAATTTATTAATATGTAGCACAGAAAATCTGAGGGTCTATTATCGGAAAGTGATACAAATAGAGAGAGTGTGCAATAATATTTGAAAACTTTTTAACGCTCATGCCGCCTTTTGTTTTCTGCATTTCTTTAAGAATTTATTTATTTTTAGGCTGTCGAAGAGATCTACGAAACCACCCTTTTGGGGATGCTTAGTTCCCAATATTACCTCTCCTACAAAAGTATACATTTCCTTAGTGAAAGCATGGAACCAAATAATTCTATTGAAGAATTACTAACACTAATTTGTCAAGTTGAAGAATACAAGCTGTTTCCAGTGCGTCATAATGAAGACATCATAAACAGGTAATATTTTCTTTATAATGTTATTCAGCAAAAATCAAGGTACTCATTGTCTTATTTGTTTTCCAGGGAATGGTGCAAAAAATTAGACATAAAAACAAGTTTTCCATTCGATTCACCCTATTTAAAAGTTTTGATAATGCTAAAATGTTACTTATTAAATAAAAATTTGCCTAATCAAGAATATATTTTGGATCTTAAGTCAGTTTTGGATCAAATTATTCGTATTATTCATGTAAGTATTTAATTTAATTTGCAATTTTAATGTAATAAGTTTTGGTGTTTAAGGCTATGATGAGCTTGGCTGCAACTAGAAACTGGTTAGAATGTACCTTAAAAACCATACATTTGTGCCAAATGCTTATCCAAGGATTTATGTTAACCAGTCCAAACCTTATAATGTTACCCTACGTAAATGCTAGCAAATTAGTTGAAATTCAGAGTCAACTTGGCAAAGTTTTAAGAATAAATAATTCGGAAATAAATATTGCCGACCTAAAATCTTCAATAAATAGTAATCCAAATATTGGTAAAGATATTACCTCTATTTTTGGAAAGATTCTTGGCGTTAATGCAGCTGCTGAAATTATGAAAACTATACGAGATTTACCAACATTAACAATACAATCAATTGTAGCCAATGCAACAAATAATACAATTTTAGATCTAGAAACTGATAAAATAAATCGTCTAATACGCATAACAGGCCAGGAAGATGCGGATTATTTAATTAAATTAGATATGACAAGAGAAGGCTCAAGGAATATGAACGTTTTTAGTAAAAAATTCAACAAACAAAAAGAAGAATTTTGGTTCTTGATATTGGCCACTGAAAATGATTTGATATTTAAAAAATTCTCTTTTTCGAGAAGATATAAGACGATTGAAGTACCAGTACATTTACGTCGGGGGGTGTATAGTTATCAGCTTTACATAATGAGTGATTGCTATCTTGGTTTTGATCAACTTTTGACATTTAGAATCAAAATAGGATAAAGTATTTATAAAAAAAAATAGTACAATTATTTACAAATGTGTACACAATATTTATGTCATATACATAACATAGGCTTATCCGTAAAATAAACATTTATTTATTTATTTATTTATTTATTTATAGATATTGACTTGAAATATGCTGATAATATGTTCATTTTGTTTACTTAGATACCTATTTTTGAAATATCTAAAGCATTTCAATACATGACCAAAACATTTTTGAATATATATAATTTGCACTAATTTTTGTGGGCCTGGAAAGCCTCTTGTTTGAAATCCCTTGTTAATGTGTTGTATTTTTATGTTTTGTTGGCTGATGATTTTAATGTTAATTTTGACGACAGGAGCTCTGCTTTTATCAATTTTTTACGAGGGTATCAAAATTTTCAACCATCTGCAGCAAGTATTGAGGAGGCAACTTCACTAATAGAAGTATTTATGCATCACTTGAAAAGATTCTTAGTTGGCTTCGCTTGTTATTCCCTGTTTGAGTCCTAGAGTCCTACAGTGAACAGTTTTAGGCAAATTATTTGATTTTATTTATTTTTCGTGTGTTAAACTGTGAATGTTGATATGCACATAGTACAGGGTGCTGCAATTTGGAGTGTTTTGACAGGAAAAAACGTACTTCGAGACCCGATAGAGAGAAATTTAACTTAGATGTCATGACATCGATTTCCGAGAAACGTCGATTGTCAAAAACTGTATCGCCTCGCCATATCTTCAATGGTACCATTGATACAGGGAGATGTTCGATTTTTCCCTATTCTGAAAAATAGCTATAGGTTTTTTATTTATCAAATTTTGAAATCAGCAAAAGCAGGGCCACAGGTTGCAGGGCTATCCAATGAGCTATTAATATATAGGGTGTCTTGTTTAAAAAAATCGGACTTCGGTCAATCGACGTTTCTCGGAAATCGATCCCGTGACATCTGTCAATTGTTCTCTATCTGAGTCTGGAAGAACGTTTTTCCTGTTCCCAAATCGCACCCGGTACTATGTGCATTTCACGTGAGATTTTTTTTTGTTATGTAAACTCGTTATTTGGTTTTAATTTAATTGTCTGATTTTTAAGTTTTAAATTATAGTGAGCACGTAAAGGTTGGAATAAAATCTATAAAATATACAGGGTGGATATTTTTCAAAAAACCTCGGACACGTCAATTTTTGATTTTAGTGGCTGTTTTTTTGATGATAATACTATGTATACAGGATGATTCAAAAACAAGTTATGACAGCTAACTTTATTTTTTTAAAATGAAAACACCAATTTTTTATTCCATTTTCAAATTCTACGTTAAATTCTGAACCTATTTCATGTATCATGTCCTATAAAGTCAGTTGCATGGTTCTTGAACTGCGCAGTCTGAAGAGGCAGAGGGGAAAATTCGTCATTCCGGCGTTGTCATATCAATAATAATAATACATGAAAATTGCAATAAAATCTCCTTCGTCTTCGAAATATGGAGAATACTATTCTTCAAATCGAATAATATTCTAAAAATAACATAAAAATATAATGATACCATAATTAATATTTTTTAAACATTCATTTTATCCATTTAATAAATCATACATCATTGAAAATCCTTTTTTTTTTCCGAAATCCGGCATCACTGAGATCACTTATGTGGAACGTTTCGAATCGGGGCGTACTCTCTGTATGTTAAATAGGAAAAAATGACTGAGCGATTGGATCCCACCACAACCAGGCGATGGCGCCGTCGCCGCCGTCAGCTAGGCGGGCACATTTTAAATTTTATTTCACTGGCGTCTCTGTTCAATCAAAGTTTTATTCAGTGGCGTAGCCAGAAGGTGTTTAAAAAGATGGACAAATTTACGCAAAAAAAAATCTTCATAGCCAAACAAGGGAGGTAATAGCCAATATATATAGAGTTTGCGATGAAGAAGGAACGAATACGAATCACCCTGTTGAGTTGAACCACCCTTATATTGGGCGAATTTCGAAATTTTGAACATCCAAGTTTTTTTCATGAAGCATATACACCCAACATCAGACGCAATTTGCAAATGTGAAAATAAATTTTAATCTTCTAATAGAAAAAATTACATTACGCACGCCTATGATATCAAACCTTAGCCGAGTTTTTATGTGGAATTTTCCCCTCTGCCTCTTCAGACTGCGCAGCTCAAGAACCATGCAACTGACTTTACCTATCTTTATCTGTTTCGGAGATATTGACAGTTGAACATTGACTTTTTTGCAACTTTGACAGGCTGTAGAGCCTAAACGGTTAATTTTAGAGCAAAACCAATCATATATTTTTAGTTTTCCTTAAACTATCATTTAAGACCAACTTTGAATTTAATCCATGGTTGAAAATTCCGGCCAAATTTAATCTCCGGTTAAAGTCAAAGTTGGTGTCAAATGATGAGTTTATGGAAAACTAAAATAAGAACGTATGATCGGTTTTGCTCTAAAATTAACCGTTTAGGTTCTAGAGCAGGTCAAAGTTGCAAAAAAATCAATTTTCAACTGTCAATATTTCCGAAACAGTTGAAGATAGGTATAGGACATGATACATGGAATATGTTCAGAATTTAACGTAGAATTTAAAAATTAAATAAAAAATTAGTGTTTTCGTTCGAAAAAATTAAGTTAGCTGTCATAACTTGTTTTTGGGTCACCCTGTATATATGGTATTAGCATAAAAAAAAACGGCCAATAAAATCAAAAATCGGCCAATAAAATCAAAAATCGACTTGTCCTAGGTTTTTTGAAAAATATCCACCCTGTATATTTTATAGATTTTATTCCAACCTTTACGTGCTCACTGTATTGTTTTTTTTTCTGTTTTATTTTATATTTTTTGTTACGATTTAGGTTCCTACTTGTTTTTATACCTTATTATTCTTATGTAAACTTGTTTCGGTGAGTGCATTATAAATCCGTGTGAACACTCGGACATTTTTTTTAGAAATTAACATTTTTTCTTTTTAAAAATCTTTGTTGAACAGTAAAAATAAACAGGAATAATAATAAAGTAAATAAAGTTTGTCATGACATGAGTTTATTTTGTTTGAGAAGCTGGAAGCTGGACAAAAAAAATGGTCCTTTAAAGCTAGTCTACCATGGCTGCAAGTTTTGGGCAATGGAAAAATCAAAATCACTACCACCAGAGACTACCTCCAAGCATGGTCATTTCATTGTGAATCAGCTGAACAATGACATGTTTGTCCCCCTATCGAAAGTCACGTTATATCATTGGTGACAAGCTAGCGCCTGTGTGTTAAATAGACCTTTCAAATGCTTTGTTTGTCCCCCCAACGGAACTGAGGTTATGTGTGTGTGACGACAGCAAGTGCCTAATTCAGTTCCCGTTCTCAGTTCAAGAAAGAGAAATCGACTACCAACTGGTAAGATAGTACGCCTTTACGCTGATCCGATGTAACCCCCGATCGATCCCCAAGAATCCTTAACTAAATAGGACTGCTTATTGAGCTGAAACTGTATTGCGATTGTGTTATTGCCATGTCCACGCGATAACTCCTCACTATTTGTGACGTCAGCCGCAGACCTTAACTTTTGGCGTATATATGCATTATCCGAATTTAAAACACTATAGGTTAGAAAAACGTAGGAACTCGAAACGATATAATCGACGAAAGAATTTCACAAGCACAGCCTGAATCGCAATCACTCCATCGAGGTCTGCGGCTGATGTTACCACTATCAACTGCTAATATTGGTGATGTCACTCGCAGACCAGCTGCCGGCTCGAGAACTGGCAAACGTACAGGTTTGTCAAAATCTCAAGCATATACCATAATTTTTTGTATACATTTTCGTCAATGTCCTATACCTAAAGTGTACTGTTTTTGGGATATGTGTCTTTAATTAAACGTTTGAAAAAACAAAAAATTGCTCTTGATCTTCAAAAGTAGATCGACCGAAAACTTTCGATTGAACCGGAAGTAAAATTTTTGTGATCTCGTTTTGATCGATCCAGTTTTTATTTTATCCGATGTAGTTAAGGCTTGCTTTCCTCGGAAGCGGGACGGAGACGGAACGGGTGCCGCAGACGTTGCCCTCATTAAAATATAAAGATGTGCTTTCCTAAGCAGCGGAGGCGCGACGGCGGCGGAGCGCAGTTTTTTTGACGCTAGCGGAATCACGCCACTGGTCGGTCGAGAGGCAACTTCGACGGGGCGCAACACCGACGGAATAATATTTATAAATAAAAATCTGTGTAAAAATGTCGAATTTCACAGAAGAGAAAAGTGAATTATTGATCGACCTAGTGAGGCAGTATCCTGTACTGTACAATTTAAAGCACAAAAATTATTTCAACAACACAATTAAAGAAAATGCTTGGAAAGCAATTAGTGATGCCCTTCAAAAACCTGGTAAGTAGAAGATAATTTATGGCCAGTTGCAGATAGACGCTATTATTTTTTTGGATTTTTTGTTTCGGATCTTTCGCTTGAATTATTTTATTTGCATTACTGATGGTACGTGTGTGTTGTTGCTTGTAACACCTCAAATTTTTTTTGTTAAAGTTGGTGAATGCAAAACCAGATGGAAAACCATCAGAGATTCCTACAGAAAACAAGCGAGGAAAAAGCTCTTCATCAATCTCGTCTATTAGAATAAAAAATAATAAATCTTCGGAATCCATTTTCACACACGGATTGCAGAATCGCCGACGTCGCTACGCCTTCGAGGAAAGCACTACCTCCCTAGCGCGATACGCCGGGGAAGCGCTTTGACTCCGTCACGCTTGCGTTCCGTCTCCGTCCCGCGTCCGAGGAAAGCGAGCCTTTAGGAGACGACCGCATTTTTCCTACCCCGATCGAGTTATGTGTCGACACTATTATCAATATATAGTATTATGTGCATCTATTAACCTGTATTCCTGCCTGAGAGCCACAGATTAACCCGTCCTAAAGATAGGAAACTTCCATGTAAAATGTTCGTTCGGAGCTGTCTCGAAAATAACATGTGTGGAGCTTCATGACTGCCAAAGCTATGCGGCGCTAGTATACAAAGCCACAAGCAAATGTCATCTGTGAACTGTGAATGGTGAATATAATTTGTCAATGTGGTTGTCATCAGTTAGCCGTTTGATCTGTGTTAGTGTTTGTTCTTTTATTTAATTTCCTATCAATTTTTGATAAAACTTTGACTTGTTAATATGTATTTAAAAAAAGAAACTTTATGCTACATTCAAACATAGTGGAAATGAGATAAGTGATGGTTTTTATTCGCCATTGTTTGACATCTACATGAATGAAGTGTGATTTGTGCACCAAATAAGACCAAAATTCCTAAAAATATACCTTCATTTAGAGCATAGGTATTACTGCAGTGGAAGCTTTCCTCAGAGACTTTGCTGAGTGTGAAATTAGTGAATTTTATTTGCAGTATTATAAACTTTTTATTGTTTTTTTCAATACGTTTTTCTATTATTGTTGTGTTTAAGGCTGTTCCAATAAACAAGTAGATGGTACTAAAATCTTGTTTTATTTCAAAAAAAATTACAAATAATAAAATAAAATCGATTAGGGACAAATCTCAGCAAGTTATTTGAAAAAAGGCGGGAGACCACGTGACTACTGCTACAACACTGAACACACTGAAGTGCACACTAGCGCCCCCATGCTGTGGCAGTCATACAACTCGTTGTATGAGTACGACAAGGATAGGGGAAAAGGCACGAGTTTCCTATCTTTAGGACGGGTTAATCTGTGCTGAGAGCAAATGCTGCCGGAAATATCTTTTAACAAATTATTAACAAATTGAAAAAAAAAACGTAACACTACCCCCATCGAGTTATGCCCTGAGTAGGGTATCAAATTGAAGGTCTCGATGTCCCCTATCTAAAAAGTTGATCCTGCCTCGTGAGAACTTGCCGGAAAAGGGTGGCAGGGCAGCTTATTGGGGCAAGGGCCCGCGGTCTCAGCTTTGACACCCATCAAATTTTGCGCTGAATGATGTGTCAAATTAAAGGTGTCAATAAGTTGATTTAAGGTCTCTTCGCACAGGAAACCCAAACCAGAAGGAGTGAATTCCATTGGTTGAAACTAGTTTCCTGACTGTTTTGTGATGACCAATGAAAATTCGCTCTGACTAGTTTGTGATTTCTGTGTGAACAGACCTTAAATCAACTTATTGACACCTTTAATTTGACACATCATTTAGTGCAAAGCTTGATAGGTGTCAAAGCAAAGACCGCGGGCCCTTGCCCCAATAAGCTGTCCTGCCCCCCTTTTCCGGCAAGTTCTCACGAGGCAGGATCGACTTTTTAGATAGGGGACATCAAGACCTTCAATCTGATACCCTACTCAGGGCATAACTCGATAGGGGTAGTGTTACGTTTTTTTCAATTTGTTAATAATTTGTTAAAAGATATTTCCGGCAGCATTTGCTCTCAGGCAGGAATACAGGTTAATAGATGCACATAATACTATATTTATATTGATAATAGTGTCGACACATAACTCGATCGGGGTAGGAAAAATGCGGTCGTCTCCTAGACTAATGTAAAGCCTGTTTTTATTTAAAAGATAAAAGTCAAAATGACATTATGTTGGCATTACAAAGTAAAATTGTCAATGCTTTCAAATTTTTTATGTAGAAAAGGCCTTTGTTGCCACATAGTTACTAAATTTTTGACTTGGGGAATTATATCTTTAAAAAAAAAACAGACTTTATATATCGATGCATCCTGTAGCGTCAAACTCGTAGAGCACTCCACTCTGTTGACGCGCATTGTTCCCTTTACACCCGAACGGTTACTTTTCTCAATTAAACTATCCAAGATGCTGTCAAACTTAACTTAAAATGGCCGCCAAGAGGCACACCAATAGGCACAGAAACTCTTTAGGCGTATTTTAGCGAGAGTTTTAACCCAGTAGTATGTTGTATTTACTTGGGATACTACATTTTAGCGAGCATGGCTAACATACTATGACGTCACAACATAAAACACAACATAAAACTCGACTGTAAACATGTAAACATCCTAGGAGGGATAGTTACTGGTTGTAGTATGTCAGTGCATCTTTTTCTAATACACCGAAAATGAGCATATGGGCAAAACATCAGCTGATTACGCTACGATTACCGACACAGTTCTTTCCATTATAAATAGAGGATTGTTTTTCCTCATTTTGCCATGGTTTTCTGTGATTTTATTTTAGAGGTTTTTTGCAAAAAAAATAAAAAATCTTCACTTGTGCACAAAAGTGTAATTTTTTTTTTTTGGCATAGGGTACCCATAAAATTCAAAAATACCACAATCTATCGAAAATATTCGAAAATCTTCACTGGAGAAATAATATTGAAACTCGAAAACGCTAAATTTTACAAAATTCAACAAATCCAAATAAACAACGATCGTGGCGTCCTCTCTTAGACCCTTTGTCAAATACACTCCACCTGTTATTTGGGTAACTATGACGTCATGAATCGTAGTATGTGTAGTATGATGTTTACCTGTCGCTAAAATACGCCTAAATGGTGTTATGAGTTTTAAATAAGGCTAATTGTGAATTATTTGCGCTGTTGTACTTAAAACTGTTGTTTTTATTAATGTTAGAAATATTTGTATCGGGGACGAGGAAAATATAGCTTTCTTTCATGCATTTGAATGGTTTGAGTCGGGCTTAAGCACTCAGGAGCAAGAAACACTTATCGAAAGCGCGGACGAAGTAGGTACCCGGACTCCGAACGATATTGAATCGAAAACCGGAACGGAACCCAGATTTCATAGGAGATGCTGTAAGGCAGGCAAAATCGGAACCGATATAAATTAATCGATTCTTACCGGTATTTTTCGGTTTCAAGATTTGATAAATTAGTCTGTTTGCTGTTTAGTCGTATCGTAATAAAAACACTCAAAACAGAGCGTTGGAAAGCGCGCATTTCTGAACTCGGCTAGGATTGCTGTAGCAAGGATATAACACACTCATCGGCCTCGATTTTTGGAATCAAACTTCATACGGTGTTGCACCGTTGTCAACGTCATCAACGGTGTCGTTAGCGATTTGAGCCAGCGGTCGTAGTTAAGAATCAAGTTAAGAATGTACATATTATTCAATTTTGATTGATTAACATAAAGTGTGTTTTTTTTTAAAGATAAAAGTCAAAATGACATTATGTTGGCAATACAATGTAAAATTGTCAATGATTTCAAATTTTTTATGTAGAAAAGGCTTGTGTTGCCAACATAGTTACTAAATTTTTGACTTGGGCAATTATCTTTAAAAAAAACAGATTTTAAGAGGCAAACGAGATCTAAACAAAAGTTGTTTTAGAATATTACATTACATAATGTACTGAATCCAAATATGCATAGAGCAAAAATCAGCGCAATCATAACTGGTCTGGTGCGAACACCCTAAAGCCGGAGTCTCATGCATACGTTTTCCGACGAAACGAAAGATGTCCGAAAAATCTTCTATTTTGACATATTTTTATACGATTATGTCAGAATAGAAGGTTTTTCGGACATCTTTCGTCGGAAAACGGATCCATGAGACTCCGGCCTAAAGATTTGTTTTGGTTTCACTCAAAACTAGTTCGGAATAATTCTGCACATGCGCATATTATCCTTGCGTTCGGTATTTTGCTCAAAGAGCAGAGCGTGCTGAGCTGAGAATGCTAAATATATCCGAGTGTCCGAAATTTTGATAAACGAGCGCGAATGAGCCTGCACCGAGTACACTTTTTAAATAAACGAACGGTAAATTCAGGCTCGGGGAACTCAGATCAAAATATCGAACGCACGGTATAAAACGCGTTTTCGTTTTTTCAGAATCGTAATCGAACAGTGTTGACAGTGTTTTGGTTAATCTATAGAACTATTTAAGAACAATTAATTCTGGGATTGTTCTAGAACTGTTCTCTCAGTTCTTGCTCTGAAGGAGGAACTGTTTTAGAATTTTGTTATTTGCGGCGTGTTTTGGTTCCGAATCGGTTCAGAACTAGTACAGTATCCGCCAAATTAAACAGTAATGAACATATAAGTTATATCATGTATTAATTTGCATCATGCGTATATGTTCAAAAAAAGCATCATAGCAACGCAAAAGAGCTTCATAACGATTTCGCAAATCATTGAAAATATTTATTAGGAGTGGTTGCTGAAATTTTTCTGAAACTTGTTTCAAACTTGAGCCTCTATTCCTTCCAAATCCGTATGACCGGAAATAGTGCTCTACTAAGAAAACTGTTTCTTAAGTTGAAAGATACATAATGACGAAGATTTCAACCTTAACTTATTAGTTGTATTCCTTTCAAGAGCTTGAAACACTCGAGCAACTCGCTTCGGTGCTTAGTCGCCCCCGATTTGCAGGGAACATATGCGTGGTGCAACAAACACTTTTCGAAAGGAATAAGCGCGTGAAGCCCCGGAGCTGTTCCGGAGCTCCTCCTAGGTGTGAACGGAATACAACTAATGTCAACCTCATAACTAATCCCAAGTAAGCGAAAAATGATAAGTGCAACTTGCGTGCGCAATTACTCAGAGCTCTAAGGCGATTTCGGCAAGCTTTGGTTGGTATACCATTTGGTTAACCAATTGGTACCTGCAACGTCATAGTAATGACGTAAGATACCATTTTGTTCCGAATTCGTTTGGTAGGTCATAGGAGAGGGGAAGAGACGAGCCTTAACCTAACTTTGTGTTGTTCTTCTAGTTTTGGGAGTGACTAGGTACTGACTGCACTGACTAAAATGTATAATCACTAATCAGCACTGTCTAGACAGTACCTTTGAGTAACTCAGCGTTTTCTGTAAATTTAAAGCTGTTAAAGTTACCTCATATCTGTCGTTCAGAGCCGTTTTTCAAATGATCGTCAAACATTATTTGGCAGTCAAAACATACGAGAAATCAGGAAGATGAAGGCGAAAAAACAAACATATTTGTTAAAAATTTCAAATTATTCAAATTCTAATGAACTTCCATTTATTTACATTTTCCAGAGCAGGACAAAACGAAAATAGACGTAGATAGCACTATACCAAATAGAAGAACCGTGCTGCTGACCACGGTATCCTATTTGACAGACCAAAAAGGATACCAAAGTCACGGTGACGACATCATTTTCGTATCCGAAATTGGTTGGTATGCATTTGACAGACCAAACAGGGTACCAAACCATGTACCAAAGCTTGCCGAAATCGCCTCTAGATTTCGGTACTGTTTATTTTGGCGTATACCGTATTAGAACAGTCTAGGGAACAGTCCTCTATTATTTTTTGCGAGCAAGCAGTTCTGCGCAATCCCAGAACCGTTCCAAATTTCGAACGAAAACAAAGCTTGATGTCGGAATAGAAGTTTTTTCGGGCGTCTGAAAACGGATGCATGAGACTCAAGCTTAAGTCGAGGCGAGAAACGACACGCTTTCTACGTCATCACTGGTACTTTGACGCGGTGAGGGGCTTGAGATTTTTATTTATTTTTATATTATTTAATTTTCCATTCCAATCGATATGAGAGAACCAGTAATTTCCAGTTGCTCACCTACTTTTCAATAAGTTGAACGTTTATCCTACGTGACAATTGATCGACTGGAAATTACCGTTCTAGAACGGTTGGAACAGAACCGGAACCGATATTTGTCATGACGCTGTGGACCGGAACCGATATTTCATCATCTCGGCCCTCAGGTGTTTGTTGCACCCCGTATCTCTCCCTTTAAATCGGGGTCGACTACCACCGGACAGAGTAGCTCGACTGTTCGAAACTCTTGAAAGGAATATAACTAAAGTGTGTTTTTTTTTTTAAAGATAAAAGTCAGAATGACATTATGTTGGCAATACAATGTAAAATTGTCAATGCTTTCAAATTATTTATGCAGAAAAGGCTTGTGTTGCCAATATAGTTACTAAATTTTTGACTTGGGGAATTATCTTTAAAAAAAAAACGCACTTTACTCACCCTGACAACTATAGGGCACTTTCCAAATTTCACCGATAAATTTACCGGTTAAATAAACCGGTAGCTGTCAAAAAAATCCGGTAAAAGTTAGGTGACAGTCCGGTTGCATCCATTTTGGTGTGTTAAAGTTTGGTTGTGATGGTTGTGTTGCGAATATTTAACGAACGACTGCCGATAGTGCCCATTCAAAGCAATTGAGGTACGGTAACAAAATCTTCACTCGAAAAAACCGACAAAAATTCCCGGTGAATCCGGTGCCTCACCGGTTTCAAACAGCTGATCATTCCGGTCAATTTTGGAACGGACGATCTGGTTCAACCGGTAAAAAATTGGTTCATTTTGGAACGGTTTGGTGAATAAACTATTAAACCGGTATCGCACCGGTTCAGAAGCCGGTGAGCTTTGGGAAGTGCCCCTGCTATCGTTGTCATCCCGGAAGATATTTGACATTTGACATTAGACATTCGACAACCCACTAACCTCAACCCTCAACTTAAAATTTAAATTCAGCTGAGCTAACGTAACGGCTATACGGCTAACGGCTATTTTCAAAATCAAAAAATTTAAAAATGTCTCATCTTAAATATTGGAACGACATGAACAATGTTCTGAGCCTAGATGGGCCGATAACCAAAGGGCCACAGCCTAGGTATGAAAGAAAAAAGAGCAGCAATCCCAGTACCAGCAGTAGTCTAAATTCTTCCAAGCAAAGGTCTCTGTCATCTTCTTGCATAAACCTATCGAAAACACCATCTAAGGATAATGAAGGGCGCAGTAAAACACCTACGAGAACACCCTTACGTAAGTCAAAGACACCGACTCCAAACAAGAGTTCAAAGACTTCTGGAGGGGATAGATTTATACCATCTAGAGTTGCCAGTAACTTGGAGCTGGCCCATTTCAAACTATCTCAAGTAGATAATGCTGATGATAGCCCCTCTAAAAAAGAACTGAAAAGAGTAATGAATGAAAACCTTAATGCAAACTCCAAAATTCTTGCCTATAAACATAAAGCCCCAAGTGCACCAGAAGGTTTCCAAAACCCTAATAGAGTGTTGTATTCACAAACAAGAACCCCTGCATCTGTTAAAAGTTCAAATAGATACATTCCCCAGGCTCCAGATAGAATATTGGATGCTCCTGATATTATTGACGACTATTATCTGAATTTATTGGATTGGGGTGCAAATAATATTTTGGCTGCTGCTCTAGGGTCTCATGTGTACTTATGGAATGCTGGAACTGGCAACATTGATGAACTAATGGCATTAGAAGGAAATGATTATGTATGTTCTTTAGCTTGGATTCAAGAAGGTGATTATTTAGCTATAGGTACAACCCAAGGAACTGTAGAACTATGGGACTGTTCAAGGGCAAAGAGACTCCGTACAATGAATGGCCATTCTGCTAGAGTTGGTTCTCTGGCCTGGAACTCGTTTATTTTAACTAGTGGATCAAGAAGTGGACAACTTATTCATCATGATGTAAGACAAAAAGAACACGTCTTAGCTACAGTGCCAGCTCACACACAAGAAATATGTGGTTTAAAATGGTCTCCAGATGGAAAATATTTAGCTAGTGGGGGCAATGACAATGTCCTAAATATATGGTCAGCAGTTGGAGGTGGTTTCCATGCAGGAAACACTCCATTGCATGTTTTCACACAACATCAAGCGGCCGTAAAAGCACTGGCTTGGTGCCCTTGGCAACCTCATATTTTAGCTAGTGGTGGAGGTACTGCTGATAGACATATTCGTCTGTGGAACAATAACACTGGAACTTGTGTTAATGCTATTGACACAAAATCACAAGTATGTGCCTTATTATGGGCACAAAACTATAAAGAATTGGTATCAGGACATGGATTTGCCAATAATGAAGTTATTATTTGGAAATATCCAGCAATGACCAAGGTATGATTTTGTTTTTTATTGTTTTGTTGAATATTGAGTATTGATGTGATGAATCTTTAAGCACCAAATATAAGTTTGTGAATGTAATAGAAAAACACGATTACTCTCAATTATTTAATTGTAAATCTATTAAGTATTTTATGTTTAGGTTGCTGAACTTAATGGACATACTGCTAGGGTGCTCCACTTGGCTATGTCTCCTGATGCAACTACTCTCTTGACTGCCGGAGCAGATGAGACTTTGAGATTATGGAAGTGCTTTATTAAGGACCCAGTTAAAGCAAAGGACAAAGAAACTGGCGTCAGAGCAAAAGCCGGCGCACTCCGGCAATGTATTCGATAGATTGTAACATAATAATATGTAAATAATCGCATTATTTACTTTTTTATACTGACTGACTATTATTCTCAAATAATAGTAGAATATAGATATTTAGTTGTGATTGTTTTTGTATTTCGTCTACTTAGTTTTTATATTATTTCTACCGAATAATAATTATGATTAGAATATTTTGTTTGATCATTTTAATTGATAAATTATTGCTTGAAAATAAGGTTTTATTTTATTTTTTTTGGTATTATTAATTTTATAGTTCAACATTAACTAAACTAGCAGTGCTATATGGTTACGAAATGCAATTACTTATGGTAGTTTTTAATTTTTGAGGAATTATAATAGGTCTGTTTCTGCAGATTTCATTATTTAAAACTAGTTTTCTGACTGTTTTCAACCAATGAAATTCGCTCTGACTGGTTTGTGATTTCTGCAGAAACAGACCTATATATTTGATGTCCTAAGAAGCACAAAAAAATCAAATATCGTCACGAAAATCTCGCTTCCAGTGCATCTGATGTCGAAGAACTGAAAACAAAACCTACGTAAAATAGTATTTTCTACAAAATTGTTTATATACATTTTCTTGTACAACCAACCGTTTTCGAAATATAGCGTGATAAAGCAGGAGCGCGCATTCAAAATAGGTGATACTACTGGGTGTCCCCATTCAACTGGCCAAAATCAAAATGCTAGGGTATATAGAGGAACCATAGAGAAGTAATTTGGTATAGGACACCGATGGTCGGAAGTGCGTCGTTTCCAAGGTACAGGGTGTTGAAATTTAAACAACCCCCTTTCATATCATCTGAAGGGTTAATGCTAGGCTGTTCAAATTTCCAGGGATTATTGATGTAGGAATGATATTTAAAAATTTGTATAATGCACCCCCATTTTCTACCTGGAACCATCCCTAAAAAATGAAATTTGAAAAAAAACAATTTGTTTCAAATTTTTATTTAACCACCCAAAAATGGTTCCAGGTAGAAAATGGGGGTGCACTATATGAATTTTTAATGTGTCTTTCCTACATCAATAAACCCTGAAAATTTGAACAGCCTAGCATTAGCTCTCCAGATGATATGAAAGGGGTTGTTTAAATTTCAACACCCTGCATTTTGGAAACGACGCACTTCCGACCATCCGTGTCCTATCCCAAATTACTTCTCTATGGTTCCTCTATATACCCTAGCATTTTGACCAGTTGAACGGGGACACCCTGTATTCAGCTTGTTCGGCCTCATTCCGCAGAGGAAGTCTAATTTCCCTGGGGTATAGGGTATAGGTATATAGAAAACAGCAAACAGCACTTGTCCTGCTTTGGGTTCTCCCTTTTTTGCATCTTTTGCGCAGCATACTTATGACGTAATAATGGTTCTAGTTACTACTTGGCTTCGAGGACTCTGCGCGAGGGTGTGCACTGAGAATAGGACCCTTATATTTCATAAAAATTAATTTCCGATGTTATTTATTATTGGATTGGTCTGGAAAACCCAAAGGGAAAACCTAGCTATTAGCTAAACGTGCTATTCCTAGGGATGGCAATTTTTGGAAAAACATCGATGTATCGACATCGATAGACATCGGAAAGCAATGCATCGATTTATGATGGAGTTGAAAACATCGATGTGTTCGATGTTTTTAAAAATGCGATATTTTATTTATTTTTTCTTTTTAGTTATTGAAAATAAAATTATATTTGAGTCAATTAGATAAGTTCAATTAAGAAATAAGACAGGCATATTAACATATAAGCAAAACTAGCAAAAGCCCGTGGAATCATAACCTGTGCTGCAAACAGCCTACATCAAGGCGAGAAACGACATGTTGCCTACGTCACCACTGGTGATTTGGGTTGGTGGGGTGGGGTCTTCAGATTTGTTCCAGACAGGCCTCATGAGGATAGGCTATCCTGTAGTAGTAGTGTGTATTATCCTTGGATCGGATCATTTAAAAAAAATCATACATTTTAAAGGTTAAACATCGATATATCGACCTGTGTTGTATCGATGTAAAAGTATCGATGTTTATTGTTCGATATATCGATGTTTTGAAAAAATCGATGTATCGTTGCCATCCCTAGCTATTCCACGATTTAATTTTTGAAAAATATGTGCGCCGAGGATTCCGAAATTCGTATACAGAGTACAGAGTAGTTTTGAAACCGTTCATTGGACGGTTCTTGAATCTTGAATATTCGAACAAACCTATTTTTATGAATGCCAAGTTTTTTAATAATAAATTTAAAGGATAAATGCACGATGCACGGATTGATAACATGGGATTTTTGGGTGCTCAAATATGGATTTTGTCAATTCTCGTAGGATTTGGCTCCATTTAAAGGTTTTTCAGAATTAAATCCTCTACCTATCACATATCAGAAAATTGGCGAAGTCCATAGAGCCCAAAATTCCCATATCGGCGGCGCGTTATCCTTTCCTGCCGACCGAAAAGCCATGCACTAGCAGCACTAGGTCTAATGCAATCTATGCTTTGAAGGAAGATGCCATTTGAGCTAGGGACGGTTATAAAAACGGCTAAAAGCCGACGTAATTAACTTAGTCGTCAGCTGTTTGCACCAGCCAGCGGTCGTAGTAGATCTAAATAAAAAATTGTTCTAGAATGTTGAAGATGCTGTGGTTGAAGTATAAAAAAATATGCATGAAGCAAAACCCCGCGGAATCATAATAATAACCCGTGGTGCAAACGCCTACGTCAAGACGAGAAACGACACGCTGCCTACGTCAAGTTAATAGGTTGCCTGGTAACAAGGATGATATACACTACTACTACAGGATAGCCTATCCTCATAAGGCCTGTGTGGAACAAATCCTTCCCCCCCAAATCACCAGTTGTGACGTTGTGACGTAGGCAGCATGTTATTTCTCATCTTGACTTAGGCAGTTTAAACAGCTGACGACTTGGTGATGGGTGATGACTATCTATGGTGAACATATCGGAAATGGTGACACACCAATATGGCGGCAATTACCAAAAATGAGGTCTATTATCGGCCTCATTTTTGGTAATCGCTAATCATGTAGGTTAGGTGTGTATCATCCTTGGCCTGGTAATGGGTAACTTATTGATGACGCATTGGAACTTTACCCAAAAATATTTTTGCATTGGTGCGGCGAGGCTGGTGCTGTGCACTTAGGGTTGCCAAGTTTTTGAATTCGAAAAGCGAGAGGTTTAAAGTTTCGGGTGCCACACTCAAATTTTTACGAAACAGTCGTTAAAAACACCCTGTCAGTCAACTGTACCTTTTTTTTAACCAAATTAATTGCCAACTCGTTTTTTCCATTTTTTTCCGGAAAAATTAGAAGCACTTATGATCTTTCCTTTTAATTACACACTCTTATTCTACTCTAACTAAAGCTATTTAGATCTGCTTGAAGCAAGAAGGTAGGTTTAAATGAAAAGGCTTTGGACTGCATGAGCATGATGCGTAATCAATGATAGATGATGGCAAGGTTAGGTTGCCTGATAATAACCCTTAGTTTTGTAGCTAAGATTAGTTTGCGGAAAATATTTTCCGCCACTTCATTTATGTTTAAATTCTTTGTCCAAATATCATAATAACGTCAATAACGTGTTTATTTTAGTCAAAAATTGAGGTTTTCTATAATGGGGCTCTAGAGTCGTTAACTGCTAACTGCTCACCTCACAGAAATCGTGCTAGAAGCAAAAAATAAACATCAAAATAAAAATTCAACAGAGAAGGACGAACTCAGTGATAAAAAAAAGTCTCATGAAACTGGTAGAACAACGATAAATGGCAGAAAAATATACCAGAAATGCGGGTCGATTAAGAACAATGAAAAAAGAAATATCTAAAGCTGTCAGGAAGGAGCATGGAGCATCATCAACAGGCGGCATTGTCTCTTCTTCCTGTTCTCTCGCTCCGTGAGGGCCTATCATTTGCCGTCGTCTTGTCTCCGAGTTGCTGGTATCGATGCGTCACTTTGCCATATTTTCCTTTAGAACATCTTTGTATATAGCGGTTTTGTTGACCTCAATTTCGTTTTTCCTCTTTCAGTTGACTGTAGCGAAACTGTCGTGTTTTGGGCATGCGGGCAAAGTGACCTGTCCAGCGAAGTTGAAGCTTTATGATAAGGGGTTCCATGCTAGTTGTTTTGGCCTCCTCTAAAACCCTACTGTTAGTTCGTCGGTCTTGCCATTTAATCCGTAGGATCCTTCTTAGGCAATCTGCCGCAGATTCAACTTTAACAAGACGCTGATTATCTAGCTATAAAGCTAGGCGGGACTTTACTACCTAAAATGATCTGCAAGCTTTATTACAACGCATGCTTGATAACTGGAACAACACCTCGGTGGAATCGACCAGTAATAATAATCATATTATGCAATGCATAAGAAAGGTGACTTAAACCTAAAAACTATCGCTCCATTAGCCTGCTTTCTCATCTATTCTAGTTATTTATGAGAATCATTACCAAACGAATTACCATAAGCCACCCAAGCTGGCTTCCAATCAGGTTTGGCAGTTTTGGCACAAATGACCATCCTTAAGTTGTTAGGTAAAGCTCTTATCGAGAAATGCATTGCAACAAACCCCTAGTCTTTGTGGATTATGAAAAAGCTTATTCTGCTGTGAGCACTGCCAAAATGCCGTATAGATTTCAGGTACGTTAATATGATTAAAAACGTATATGAATATGCCAAAGCTTGTATAAAACTGCATGACTATACGGATGATTTTCCCATTGAACGGGGTGTAAGACAAGGTGATGTTATATCTCCTACTTTTTACGACGCTCTCAGAATACATGTTAAAAAAGATCGATTTTGAACTAAAGACATGGAACTAAACATCAATGGTGACAGATTGAATCACCTGAGATTTGCAGACAAAATTGACGAGTCGAGGGAGATGCCTAGGAGACTGGACGATGCTTCGAAAACAGCAGGTTTGAAAATTAACTTCTCTAAGATCCAATACATGATCAGTGAACGAATTTCCCTGGGTGCAAATCATGTAAAACAAAGTAAACTCGTATAATAAGTGAGATGGCGTCGAGTGCACACCTGTGCGCTCGATGCTCCAAAAATTTTATCGTGAGTACGAAGTCGGTTAGTTGCAAACTATGCGATCAGTATTATATCATCGTGTGTTTCTATAAAGGATAAAGGATACCTTGTATAGGGCGATCAGCGATTGTAAAAATGTGTTCTGGTGCTAAAGTGGCTAATG